ACCAAGGCAATTTTCATTGCATACATAATTGAAATATACAGTCTACAAACTTTGTTTTTTTTTCAATTATTTCTATTAGATCTTCTACAGGTTGAGCCATTTTTAAGTGTTTTCTTATTGATCCATTACGGAATAAAATCTCTTTTCATGTTTCTACTAGTGTAATACTGTATAAACCAAGACCGTTTTGCAGTGGGTAAAGGCACAAAAAAGATTTCACTGTTCAATGAACAAATGTGTAGCACTCCAGCAACAGGTGTTAAAACTTCTCGAAGGGGTTTCAAACAAACACAATTTTGGGAATTTAATAAAACGAATCTACGACCAATTCACATGGGGTCAGAGCAAAGAAAGAACTGAAAGAGATACGTTTTTTGTAAAGATAGAAATGTAATGTAACTAATGAAAAAATAAAGTTGCAGAAAGCCATAAATTCTGGTCAGTTAAATAGTTTTACAGTTTCGATCAATTTGTTGTGTTGCTGCGCATTCGTGCAAAATATGTGAATTTTGACACTTTAATTGGGAAATCGATTGTTCCCAGACAGATTCCCGCTCTTCGTTGTTACTCTTCTACCACTCCAAAAAGCCCTTTTATCTGTTGCAACAAATTCAGTGTAAGCTTTCGAATTCTTTTACATACATATTTGCATACTATATTATTTTTTAGAAAATACCTGATTACTGCAACGTTCTCTATCCCAAAACATACACCGTCTCTTCCTTTAACCTGAAAGGTAAAATTCAAAATCAATAAAGCTGCTCATTTAGATTTATATCTTTTTCAGACTGTGGGATCCCAACCATAAATAATACTACGTGGGATGTACAAGATGGAGACGGTATAGGACTATTTAAAGAAATGCACCTTAAATGCCACGATTCCTATCAACAGCGAGGATCGGACAGGATTTTATGTCTCGAAAACGGGACGTGGAAATCGGACCTGCATTGTCAAGGTATTTTTGCTAGTTTTTCTTTCACATATTGAGACGCCACCTCTTGTCGTTCGATGTCCGTAAAAAGAAAACATCAGTTATTTCGTTTTTAGCCCAGCGAGCAAAAAAATAACCGGCTCTATGAAAATCAAATTTGTAATGATATTTAGGAAACCGGAGTATATTGTGAGAGTTTTCAAATTATACAGTAATCATGATATGTTCAGCAGAAAACATCATTTTTATAATTCGGATTTATCAGTATGGCTTTTTGGTCATTAAATCTTCCATATGTTTAATGATGCAATTGGCAGTATTCTTATTTTCTATCCATTTCAGCTGCTACAGATTGTAAAAGCCTTTATGATAATGGTAACACTAACTCCGGCGTGTACGACATTAACCCCTCTGGTGCAAGCTCACGTCCTGTCAGAGTGTTCTGTGATATGGGCACACTGCAAGGAGGATGGACGGTATCTATGTTCATGATTGATTGATTGTTGTTTTACGTCCAATCCAAGAATTTTCCCTTGTGTAGAGACGTCATCATTTTCATGTACCGGCAAAGGGCTTCAAATTCAGACCTTTACTCCGCATCCAGGGCTGTTGAGCGGTGGGGGATATTTATCTTCCCATCGCCTGCTGTTACACTGTACCTCGGTTTTCAAGGTCTCATCTGCAGGACCTGCAACTTTCACTTCAAGTGCCGAGTGCACGGCGAAGGAATAGTTCCTACTCATTTTCTATCGACTTAGGTCAGTCGCGGCCCAAATTCAAACTCGTGACCTCCCGATCACGGAGCAAGCGCTCTACAGATTGAGCTACCGTGATCGGTCTTATTAAAGTTATTATCATAAATACTTGTGGACTGCATTGTCGACGGATTCTTTCATTATTTCATGACAAAAAGCTCACAGCAGATGTAAGCGGAGGATGCTCACTCCTCAATGGCACCCTAACCCAAATTGGATTGTGTAGAGGTCCATGGTTGCTGTGATTTTGATTGGTATTGTTTGAATGCAATTCTTAGCTTGACTACCGTTTGTTATATCTATAGTTCATGATAAAGAGAAGAAATATATCTCACCTCGATCTCTAGTATATTAAATGTAATCAATCCTGATGATTCATATTAGTTACAGGTTAGAGGGTTAAAACACTGAAAATGGGATTAGTTAAAGGGTAGAGGGTTAAAACACTGAATATGGGATTAGCTAAAGGGTAGAGGGTTAATAAAACACTTAACATAAAATCAGGGTCATTACGAAGCTATTCGTTTTTAATACTTGACTAGGACGTTGTCATTTTGTAATCGATTACGGCGAAGCAAACGGGAGAGGAAATATCTTATGTGAACAGAGAAACATCATATAGATGTAACAAACAAATGGATATAATGAGTTCGTTACATAATATGCACGCATCATCAACTTTCCTCTTATTTCGGACAAATTCCTTTTTGTAATGCAGTAAAGTCGAAGAAGATTGAAATAGTATGTTTGAGTATTTTTTTCTTTGCTTGTGATTTTTTTTTTCAAGCAAGTTTTTTTTTTTCTTGATTTTCCATGACAGCTTCCTCTTTCAAAAACGATTCTACGTCACTGTATAACCATGTAGTGACTCAATATGATATGATATTCATGTATTTTTAGGTCACCTGAGTAAACTCAGGTGACCTATTGCTATCCGTTTTCGTCCGTCGTCGTTCGTCGTTCGTCGTGCGTTAACATTTGAACATTTTCAGCTTCTTCTCTGCAACCACTGAACCAATTTCAACCAAATTTGGCACAAAGCATCTATGGGCGAAGGGGAACAAAAATTGTGAATTTCATGATCCCTGCCCCCCTGGGGCCTGAGGGGTGGGGCCAAAACCACTAAAATTAATGCAATCTTTAAAAATCTTCTTCTTTACTCCTGGACATCAAGCAATCGAACTGTTTGCATGATTGTAATCAGCATTGAGTCCTCTACCAAAATTATGAAATTCATAGCCCTGGGGTCAGGGGTTCTAGTGCTAGGGCGGGGCTAAATAAGTAGGTAGTGAAAATGCATTATTTCTTTGAAAATCTTCTTCTCTGCTCCTGGGTATTAAATAAACCAACAAAGTACATAGCTATGATGAGCAAGAGTGCCTCTACCAAAATTGTGAATTTTATGGCCCCAGGGTCAGGGGTTCTGGTGCTAGGGCGGGGCTCTATTAATTATATAGTGAAAATACATTATTTCTTTGAAAATCTTCTTCTCTGCTCCTGGGTATTAAATAAACCAACTAAGTACATAGTTATGATGAGCAAGAGTGCCTCTACCAAAATTATGAATTTTATGGCCCCAGGGTCAGGGGTTCTTGTTTTAGGGTGGGGCTCTAATGATTATATAGTGAATTGCATGAATTCTTTGAACATATTATCCTTTGCTCCTGGTTAATATGCTAATGATCTAATTACATATTTAAGGCCAGGATTTATTTTATTTTCAGTTGTACAAAGCCTCCGCTCAAGGTTTTGAATTTTCAGAAAATTTTTTCTTTCCGATGTCAAATATGAGTCGGGATCGAGATTTCAAATTTACGAACTCGCACTTCCGGTTTTAAGATGAAACGGCGGGTAAATAAAGCTACAAGCCTACATTTGAGAAGATAGCTTGGTTTAGTGTAAAATTCATCGATACGAGTGCCATTCAAAACGTTTCACCCGTTCAAAGGACAAATAAAATGCTGACGACTTTGTTGCACAATGACATGCTGGTGAGATAATTATGTATTCGTTTCAAGTTTCTGTCTGTAAATTATTTTCCTCCCCCAGGTTTTAAACTGCCCGTGGTAGCTATTGCATATTGCCAGCGACATTGTTTAGGTCTCTGTCATAGCTTACAGTCTAAGCATCATTCTTCAGATAAGGGTTGCTTATGCATCAGATGTAATGAATAAAACTATGGGAGAAGTTAAGTCCATTTGAGGTCAGAAGAAATGAACAATAACCTGAAGAAATAAAAAAAAATCAACTATTAAGGCAAGAATATACAAATATATACAGGCATGTAGTATCATTTGTATCAGCCAGAGAAATTATTTTACACTTAATTGAAAAAATGTTCACCGTATTCCCCAATACTCCCTGTCTGTTTTATGATAGGAATTATAATTTTAGGCATCAAGTAAATTTTAGAACAATGTCTACACATTCACCTAACACATTAAAAAAATGAAGAATAGAATGGAATAGATTTTATTATTCCAGATCAGGGCCCTTGTGGGCATATTACATACATGATTATTAAACAGAGCATATAATATAGTTATTAACAAAATGTGATGTGTTCTTAGTACATGTATATACTTAATCAATTTACACATGGTTCATAAGTTGAAATAACTGCTAACATGTGAACTGTAAGAAGATATATTGAAAGACTTTTAAAGAATTGATTTTTTAAAATATTTTTGACCAACATCACAAAATTTATATAACTGGCCCAAATGATGGCAGATGATGAAATAAGCAATTAAATGTTCTACTTTCGTATTTGTAGGTATTATGTGTCCAGTGGTAAGGAGCCTATTAGAATAGCATAAAAAAAGAATGTACAATTGATTTATCAAAATTTTTTTTGTTTCCTTTTCCTTCGAGACTTTTTTATTCTCATGTTCATAACTAAACCTAAACATAAAAAAAAAATGCTGGCCTTATAATGAAGAGAGGGGCCTCTTTCAAAATAGATAAATTCAGGGCCACTTGGTCAGGGGTACCATGGGGGTACTTTGACTAAAAATAAATTAATGCTTTGAAATCTGCCCTTTGATAAGCAATGGTGCCTCTTATCAAAATTTGTGAATTTCATGGCTTTTGGATTAAAACACGAACCAAATACGATCGCTGGAAAGTTGTTACATGATACTCAGGTGACCTATAAGGCCTGTGGGCCTCTTGTTCAGATTAGTTATCTCATAATACGCATTCTCATGTTTATTTCTTCTTGCACAATTTCTTTGCATTAACACATATACGGACATGCCTTCATTTGTTAAAGATTATCCAAAAACGAGTAGATGGAGTCCTCAGTTTTGACCGTGTGTGGTCTGAGTATAAAAATGGATTTGGGGAACCGGAAGGGAATCTTTGGATAGGTAGATACAAATAACAGCTTTTTAAAAAAAAAAAGTTTTTTTTAAAATCCAATTTAAATGTTTTAAATTGTTTCTCTTCTTTTGTTATGAAGATTAAACTATTAAATATGTGAAGATTCCATTTGTTTACGGGAGTTGCTTTGTCAGAATTAATACTTTAGAAATGAATAATGTTTAAGTTGTTTTAATCCCTAAATATTGTTATAGTTTTTTTAATCCTAATAAATGTTTAAAAATTGATTTTTCATGAATATTTTGAAAAAAAAAATCAGTGTAACTGTGAAGGATAAATTTCCTTTTATGAACGAATACTTAAGGTAATTTTGACTTTTTGGCTCAGATTCGGATTTAAATGAAAAGTTAATTATATATCATGATACTTTTTTTCAATATTTACATCGAAACAGGAAATGACGTAATCCATCAGTTAACAAAGGGAAGGAACTCGTCCCTCAACGTTTCGATTACATTAGTGAATGGCAGCAGCTTGTATGCGTTGTATGACAGATTTTCTGTTTCCACTGAAGCAGACAAGTATAAACTCTTCTTAGAGGGGTATTTGGGGGGAACATTAGGTACGTGAAATGTATACATTTACAAAAACTAAAACGAGAAAAGAATGAAATAGGGAGAGAGAACAGCGACTGATTTTTTCTGTTGTACATACATGTAGCTTAAAATATCTTTGAACTAAGATTTGTTTACCGTAATTAATGCATCTTCCTCCTGGAAATAAACGAACTACATACGTAGTTAATTAAAGAAGTGATGCACTTTAGATATTGTGAATTTCGTGGCCCCGGGGTCAGGGATTTGGGTGTTACATAATACCGGGCTTTAGATAATATACACTGTAAATGCATTAATTCTTTTTAAAGCTTCTATGCACTTGGATATTTACAAATCAAAGTACTGAATCGAGGTGACGTCTTCCAGTAAAATGTCAAATTCACCCTCAAATAACTGGCATATACAAAAATTTAAATCTAGGAGAAACCTCACTAAAAATCAATGGAAAGAAAAAAATTAGCAACACGACGATGCATTTTTTAACTTATTTGATTAAAAAAACTTAAATAGTTATCCTTAAGAACCCGTCACCATAACCTCGCATTTCTCTTCAAATTAAATTATCATTTCAATTGTTTCTTGTTACACAGTAATAAAGATGAACATTATATTTAATGACATAAACAACAAAGAGCAGAACTGGGCTTCTATAAAACCACTAAATAGAACATGTATCCTGTCAGTGTCGTTATATCCAATGTGTCCTGACTCAGCCTCTATATTATGCCAAAGAATCCCGTAAAATGAAACTTTTCTTGCCTTTTTCTTAAATTTTAAACACGGAAAATTGTTTTAAAGATTTCATATAGCATTTTATTATACGTCATTATAAATATTCTACACAACACGTTATCTGATTGGTTCTAGGTGATCACGTGATAGGGCCGTAAAACTTCTTATCCCGCTTCAGACAGATTACTGATTGGATAAAAGCTAATCAAATGACGCCCTGAAATTTTCCGTATTACGTCGCCGTCGAGGAGTAATATGAAAATCGGGCACGCGATTCCGTTCGAAGCGTTGTTATTGTAAATAAAAATGGCGGCAAGGAAACGGTTTACGTAGGTAGTTTAGTTGAATTTCTTGTTACCGTAACGATATTTTATGTTGATTGTTATTGGATTAAAACTTAATATTTTCATAATATGCACAATTTTTTTTTATTGAAAAAGGTCTTCAGCGACTGTGTAACTAATAATATTTCACGGCCGTCGGCATGCTTTTCATCATATTCCACCTCTTCGGATACTTAGTGCATTTTCCCGCAGTAATTATTTTTCGTTTAAAGAAAACTTCCGAGAGTAGTAGATGTCACAATGGCCTGGTTTGCGTCACAAAATTGATGATAATGTGTTGACCAAATGGTTTTAGTAACTTTACGTTAAAAATGAAAGTGAATTTGAGAGCGGTGCCTAATTTGAAATTTTATATTTATCCAAAGGTTTTGCTTGTTTCGGTATAATAAACAATTCATTGCATGAATGTTCTGGAAACATGAAGACTTATTCAGCCAAGAAATATATTCCTCTCGGGCGAAGCTCTCTGGGAATATGATTTTTCATGGCTGAATAAGTCTTCATATTTCCCTCACTATCATGCAATAAATGTATAGTATTGCATTTTTAGACAGGCATCAGCAATATACACAAATAACGTTTTTCTACCGTATTTCATATGTAAAAATGTCGCGCTTATAACGCGTAGTACATTCCTGCAATTGTACAAATATATAACAAAATAAAATAAATTAGCCGTATTCAACATGGTATTTATGTTGAACCTTCATAAAAATGACTGACAGGTAAAAATGAAAGGATCATTCAGCCAATACGAAAATAGTGATTCTCGGTATATTGACTTCATTATATTTCACTCCCAAGTGTTAGTATTGTGAAAGTTTTGTTGAATTTATTGAATACCATGCGAGATGTACTACAGCATTATGAATAGAGCTCAACGAAGAACATGTACTTGTGCAAGATTTCTCTTTTTGTTATATTGCACAGGTGACGGTATGGTAGACACCGGGTATGCTGGTCGAGATCTCTCTGGGGTTTATTTTTCTACGCCAGACCGAGATTATGACAGGTTCTTAAGAGGAAGCTGTGCTAACATCTGCAAAGGAGGCTGGTGGTTTAACAATTGTTACAATGCCTTTCTTAATGGTCCCTGGGACCCAGGATACTGGACAAAACCATGGTCTCCTGCAGTTATATACGGGGCCTCTGTCAAGAAGACAACCATAATGGTCAGGCGTCATTAGGTTGGAACATAACAAAGTGTATGGGTTAGATTGAGTGATTGATTTCTATTTCGCCGAGTCGGCTATATTTCGGCACGGGGCACCATTTAACGTCCCGTCCGACGGACTTAGATTTTCTTTTAAAAATATGTAAACTGTTATAAATATTGTATAAACTGTTAATAAAAGAAATTGATATATGTACATTAAGATTACTTTAAAATTTTATTCAAATTTTACTGTAATAATCTGTTTCTTTTAGATATTCTAAAATTTATAAACTTGAACATTTGTAAAAAGTTCATACATTGTTTTTACATTTCAAAAAAAGTCTACTTCGAATTGGTGTAAAATCGGAACATTCTAAAAGTACGTAATATAGATATCGGACAGTCGTAGGATATACATTCTGGCTGTAACTCTCTATTCAATAAATATGCATGTGTAATTTTTGAATGACCAATACTTATTCTTGATATAATTACTTCGTCTTGACGTTTCAGACCGAAGTCATATGATTTGTTAACTTTGTTTTCAATAGCATAAAGCTCCCTTTTATCACAAAAATTCCAATAAATTTGCCAAAGATAATCAACATTAATTTTAATTAGATATTTCGAATCGGTGTAAGAAATTTTGAATAAAGTAATTTCATGTTCAAGTGCAGTTTTTGCTGCACTGTCAACCTTTGTGTTTCCAGGGATGCCGATATGCTTGGAATCCCAACAAAAATTAATTGTTTTACCCTGTTGGGTGAAGTGATAATACTGAATTAATATACATGTATTTATAATATAAGGGTGACAAAGATTCTTATTTTGAATTGATGGTAAGCAAAAAATGGAGTATAAAAAGTAAATATGTTGTCACTGGAAGATTTTATGTATTGCATCTACAAAGTTGATTGGCAAATCCCCCTTTTTACTCTCCATATTGTTTTTTTAGAAAAAGGTCCGAATATATCGTGCAATATTACTCACATATCATGCAAAATATTCGCGCACGTAAGTCGGATAGTGGATGTTAAAAATCCAACACTATGTATGGTTGATAAAGTTTGCAATAAGTTTTCAATATTTTTTGAAAAATAATTCTAGTGAAAAAAGGTGTGTTGCGTTTTTAAAGTCAGTCATAATATATTAAAGTATCACCCTCCGTGCCTTGTTTTCTTTCCTATTTCAGGCTGCTTCAGACGCTTATATCATACAGGTCGGTATAACGAATGAACCAATGAATTAATTAATTCACATACCTCCGTTTTTCTCGATTCTTTGTTTTTGCAGTTTTATACAGCTTCATGTGTACAGGACTTTGAATGAAACGCCGTTGAAGTTTTAAGTTACTTATACATGCCTATATACTTTAAAACATAATCCTATGTGATACAATTTATAATTAATTTTTTTAATTTAAAAAAGGATGATGTTTTTCATGAAGGAAGGATTGATTTTGAAGTGAATGCAACAAGCCTGTTTAATGCTCACGCATTGCACTTCTCATTTTTAAATTTTTTTTTTCTTAAATGACTTTAACACATGTTTAATCATTTCATAAAACGATAATGGTGTTTTATATTACAGCACCGTCTAAATAATATAAAGATTTAGTTTAAATTTTTCCTACTCAAATGTTATAAATGTAATACATGAAAATAAGTCATTTTTTTAAAAGAAGGCATAAAGTGATTTATCGGCAGGCGGGCTGTTTATTATACCGGTATAATTGTATAAAGGCCAATGTCAATTGTAAATAAAATTAGATAAAGAACAATAGAAAGTATTATTTATTTTTTTTTAGTATTAAACTATATAGAGGACTGGGTAATATTTATAAAGTAAAATTGGATAAATAACACAACGGTCGTGAAACTAGAGCAAAGTTCCTTGCAAAGCAACGAGTAGGTATTCCGTCCTGTTTGACCAGAAGTAACTTTTATTTTTAAAAAAGAGAAATGACGTCTCTAATGATTTAAGTACAGGTCTCTGTAAGAATCAGACAAAAGGTGAATCATGAGGGTTCTCAGAATTTGATGATTTTACACACATAGGTTTCTCTTACCCTATGAACCACGTATGTAAAATGAAAATTATTTTGGGTCCTGGTTACTATGGAAACATGGCCAAAGAAATTTTCCCTAGCAACCGGTCAATTTTCCATGTTTATGGACAAATATATCACTAAAATTAGAGGCTTGAAATTGAATGTGAATATTACCAGAGGAGTTCTTAAATAATGTTATCATAAAGATAAACATTTCAAGTGATAAAACCATGTAATACATACAATTTTTATTTCAAGATATTTCTTTTACGGGCAATGGAAGATATGCATGTATTGCATTTTTTGCTGATTCAGCATTTTTGTTAATTTGGGCAATTTTCAAGGCCATATATCTCAAACTTCTTGCACAATACAAGAGTATGGTATATTTTACATAAAGGCAGAGGAATATCCTTTTTGGAATTTAAATTCAAAAACGTGTGTTTTTTAATATTTACAATTGGTTGCCTAGCAACAAAAATGGATGTTTTGATTAAGAGAAAGAGACAAATTGTCAAATATGCGAGTTATTTATGGAATTAAATCTTATCGGTGGATACCAAAATCAATTTTTAAAGTAAAAACATATTTCTGAGACTTCTTCATGAATCCAGGAATATTTTGCATATACTTATCGCCATAGTAACAGAAAATTCCCCATAGCAACAAAGAAAATAAATCCACTTTTGACATGCACTCATTCACAGATTTGATTATTTTCGTCTAGAAATGATTTGGTAAATATTAAAAAATAGTGTTGAACTTTAACAATATTAATTTTTGATCTTAATTAATGCATAGCAATATTACTGAGCTTATAACATTAATAAAATTATACATTACAAGGAGCTAAAGTTATTTTCTAAAGTCTCTATATATAAGCATTTTAAGACCAATTCTCCGTACATGTAATTATCAAAATTGGTTGGCAACACATACTTACAGATTTGAATTTTGTCTGTCATAATTTTAAACAAATGTGTGATTGATTGTGAAATGTAAAAGTATATTTGAATTATAACCTCGGTTTACCGTTGCCATGGAAACGGGATACAGACTTTCTCATTTCTGTAAATCATGAAAATCTGCTCTTTTCATGAAGATGTCCAGAAATGAAAGGAGATAATTAAATTTGTGTTTAATTTTTTTTAAACCAGTGCTAGAGATTCAAACAACAATGTTTACGGTTCAATTTTAATTTCACACTTGTTAGTGGTCATGCTAGGTACTCGAAAATATCAAAATATGGTAAATTTTGCTGTTTTTAAATGCTTAAGACAAAAAATACAATCATTTACAAATTAAGCATAGAAAAAGGAAGGTCAACATTTTATTACATTAAACATTTTAAATAAAAATTCGGTGGGCAAATGATATGCATAAAAGAATTTTAAAGGTGAATATTAATTTTTCTGCATTTTGAAGCATTTTTGCTTCCCAATTACTTCCCTTGGATTACTCTCTAAATGATTTTTTAATAAATAATTATTACACGCCGGGAGCAAGCCCCTGTGCTTTTTTTTTTTTTCCATTTTTTGGCTTTCATGCATTTAACCGAGATTCCTCGGCTTTGAAAATTGTGACACCTGAGGGGGTCTCTGCCCTGACTCTCCCCCGACCCCGGTACATTTCGCAATAAAAATATAACGTTACCAGTACATGTAAAAGCACGTTGATGAGAGACAATGTAGACATATGCCAGGTCAGAGAGTGACAGACACAATCTCTATATAACACTGTATATATACTCAGAGTAGCTTGCTTAGACGGGTTAGATGATTTACAATTTTTACCAGTTTTCTTCATGAGCAATCTTTTTATGAATTTAAAAAATGAATCTGGGTGCACAGGGACTTGCCCCCGGTGTTTAAAAAATATTTATTGAAATATCATTGTTTGTATAATTGGTATATGATATTTTTATTTATTTTTTTTTTACAATAAAAGCACATCTTCAGCTAGCACCAAATTTTATTTCAATGCAATAATACATTTCCTTTATTTCCCTTAACTGTAACTGTAAAGTTGGGGGGTGTCTTCTAATAAACATTTCCTACAGTAATTTTACGTTCGAAAAAAAGAAAAAAGAAGAAAAGCCCCCACCCCTTGGACCCCCTGTTGCTACATCCTTTGTTTGAAACAATTGTCCAAATTGTGTATAATAAAACTACAATACATCAATAGGGAATCAATGCCCTAAGCAGGACAAATACAGAAAAAGTGCCTGCAATTGTCGAAAGTCAATACTTGCCATATAAATGTGGGACAAAAAAAATATAGCCTAATATTTTGTACTGTAAATTTCTATCCCTAGCGTTCATAGCATTATTGATCACTTTGCATGAGATGATATATTTTTACCAAGCAATGGATTTCGAAAATCAACATACATCTTTCGAAGTCTGCAGTCGTCCGCGTGGCGCAGTGGTTAAAGCGTCTGCTCGAGAGTCGCAAAGGAGTCAATCCTTACGTCCAGGGTTCGAATCCCACTGTGGGACATGGATACTGGTCCATCGGATGAGACCGTATAAACCAAGGTCCCGTGTCGCAGTAGGTGCTGGCATGAAAAAAGATCCCTCCCTGCTCAATGGCCCTCAGTGCCAAGTATTTGACAAAATTTGCAGCTCTCCACCGTCTCCATGTGAGTGAAAAATTCTCGAGAGAGAGACGTTTAACAATATACACAATCAATCAATCGAAGTGTACAAATTCTCTTTAATTTTTGTGTGGTATTTTTTTTTTAACTTGAAAAACATATAATATATAGTGTTACTTGAAAGGAGGGATGTTTTGATGTATTCAATAGGTATACCCATATACATCAATACACTAAAAATTGTACAACAAAACATAATTATATCTGCACCCCGCACTTTGTACCCTTTTCAAAATACATATAACATTATGGTAATATATATTGTGAATTAGGTGAATTTCCTCTTGAACTGGTCAGGGAAAAGAAAATCCTTAAATATTTTTTTTTTCTTTTTAAGTAGTGACT